CCCTAAACCCTAAACCGTTTCAGGTGAATTTCGGGCCGCTCCTGGAACTTCCCGTGGAGGATGGCGCTACCTGGCGGCTTTTGGAGTCATCCCCAAGGGGTCGTACTGTCGATGATATAAATCCTACATTACCTTAAGGGGTTTGGGGCTTTAGGGGTTTAGGGTTTAGGGTTTAGGGTTTTAGGGTTTTAGGGTTTAGGGTTTAGGGTTTAGGGTTTAGGGTTTAGGGTTTACGGCATTACCTTAAGGACCTTAAGCTACGGGAGTTGTGGTATATTCCTTGATATGGGTAATGCAGGGTTTGTATCAACAACCGTAAGTATCTACATGATACTTGCCCAAACCTTATTAGCAATTCCTACTGCTCGTGTTCAGGGATAATGCAGAATTAGGGTGAGGCTTTAGGGCTGTCGGAGTTCCGGGGTCTTGGAAGAATTTCGTTTCTAGAACTGGACATCAGCAGCGCCAAGAGTCTTTGAGTTGGTTCCTAGTGTATGCCGTGCTAGAGTTTAGGGTTTCGAGTGTTCGGATTAAAGGTTTAGGGTGTATAGTGATGTTAGAGGAAGAGTCGGAAGAGTACTTTCACCCGAATTCACCCCCAAAGTACAATCTAGAATCTGCTTGCAATGTCCCCTGAGCTGCGCACAAGCGGTGCGGAAGAAGCTAAAGCCTGCGGCATCGCAAGACTCCAGACATCGGTGCGATACTCTCAAGTTAAGGTTTAGGATTCCCAGTTTCGGGTACTTCAGTAAATCCAAACTGAGCCATGACCTAGCAGCTTGGAAATGGAGCTATACCTAAAGTAGTAGACGCCAGAAAGATGGAACATGGTTACTTGGTTATCCCGACCCCATTAAGGCAAAGCAAAGAAAATCCCGGCACCAATCAGCCATGTTCCAAATTCCTCATTATCACGGAAAGGAGCTCTGCCCAGGACATGTCAGGAGTAGGGCAGAGCTGACCCCTGAGAAAGCCCAAACCCCATACACTCTTGCAAGCCTACTACAGCCTCTACAAAACCTACATCGCGCTTCTAGAACCCTACTAAAGGCTGGTTCTAAGAGAGACCTAAACCCTAAACCCTGAACCCTCAAGCCTATGTCCATGAACTTTAGCCCTAAAGCCTGAACCCTAAACCCTCAAAAGGCGCAGCTCGCATGGTGCACAGTCCTGGCCGCAAGCACCAGCGTTCATCTCATGGAGCATCTTCTTTGGGGCTGAATTGGGTTTGGGATTCGATTCAGGTTTCAAGTTTGAGGGTTGAGGGTGGGTTTAGGGTTAAAGGTGCTCAGATCTTCTATTATCCCGTAATTAAAGAATATCCCATAGTCCCTAATATCCTTTAAGGTATGTTCCTGAATTAAAGGGATTTTGGAAGATCTGGCTTGGGGCTGAAAGGGGTTTGGCGTCTAGTACCGGGGGCTAGATAATTACGTATATTATTGTGGTGGTTCCTTATTATAATTTTAGTAGAATATACCCCAAAACCCTATGCAACATTTTAAGGCCCCTACAATGAGTAGACCCTGAACCCATCATGCAGGAAGCAAGGAACCACTTCAGCTGCGGCGTTCGGGGTTCAAAGTGCGGATTACCCTCAGTTACTAGGGGCCCGAATACTCGAGGAGACTCTGGGAGTCTGAATCAACGTTCGGTGCCCTAACCCTAAACCCTAAACCCTAATCCGATTCAAGCCGAGGCTTTGCGGTCTCGGTTGAACACTGTTGAAGCTTCCTGAACCCTGCCTGCCTATGGTCTCCAACGTCGTTTAGGGTTTAGGGGTTTAGGGTTTGGGGTTTAGGGTTTTCGTTCCTTTGAATGGTTTAGATTGTAGAAAGGCTCTTGTAAGGCAACCCGAGAAAGCCACGATGGAGACTTTAGGTAAAACCCTCAACCCTAAGCCGTAAGTATAGGTCCCCAGATGCACCCTGGCTTTGATCGTACTTATGACTGTATAGCTTGTATTGCATATTCTGTATCCTGTTTTTATATTGGAGTGCTCGGCATCTCAGCCTGAATCACCGTGAAGCCAAATCGAAGCTGTGAGAACAGGAGCTGGCACGCCGCGAGGGTCACGAGAAAGTCCGGCAGCACGGCCGAAGAGTCAACCCGATCCCCATCTAGCACCAACAAGCCCTATCTCTGTACAGGATTTAGACAAGAAGTCATAATCATGAGGAGCCCCAACTAGCCTTACCTTCTTAAAGGTTTTAGGTGCAAACTTAGATACAGAAATCTCAAACTCAGATAAGCAAAATCATAGCCAGGATCCCCAAACAGGTAGGTTTTATAAGGAGCCGGTCACGGAGGATAACAAACACAAGACTCAGACACGTCAAGCACCTTTACAACACGGGTTTGGGGGCTTTAGGTTTAGGGTTTAGACCAACAGCGAGCGATGTATCACTCCGGGGGCTGGCAGAAGCTTCCCTTCAAGACGTCTACCTTGCCATCATCAACGCCCCTAAGCTGCCCCAAAATTTCACGGAGATGTTTAGAAGGGCTTCAGCCCCAAACCCATTGATGACAAAGAGCTCTCGTCAGTGCTAAACCCCTCTCCCACATCCCGAGACCCCAAAACCTTTGTATAACCAGATAACCCGGAGACCTTACTATAGAGAAGCGTAGATGATATGTATGTATACTATACAGGAGCCCAAAACCTTATTCTAATTACTAAGGTCCTGTATCATAGAAGCCTCATGCTACTCCTCAGAGTACCCCAACATGCCCAAAAGGAACCCTATTCTAGTCATCACGGCCCCTCCAAGAAACCTAGGCAGTACCATCAGATGCTCGGCTACCTTGGCGACTCCCAGGGTCGGGAGCAGAACTTCGACCGACAGCAGGAAGTCAGGCCGGCAGACGGGGAATAAGGGTTTAGGGTTTAGGATTTAGGGTTTAGGGCTTAGGGTTTAGAGCTTGGGGTTTAGGGTTTAGGGCTTGGGGTTTGGGGTTCAGGGCTTGGGGTTCAGGGTTTAGGGTTTAGGACTTGGGGTTTCGGGTTTAGGACTTGGGGTTTAGGGTTTATAGGGTTGAGGGATTCCTTCAAGGGACGTATGGGTCCTCATCTAAGGCAGGGCTCTAGAAGGGTATGTTAAAGGGTCCAGCTAGGGTTTCAGGGTTTGGCTTAGGGGTTTCGGAGCGATCCAGGGTTCGAGGTTCCGGGCCTCAGTGCCTAGGGGCTTTCGGGTCTAAGGCTTAGGGTCTCAGTGCTCAGGGGTTTTACACTTTCATGTCTAGTCCTTTTAGTGAAAGGAACCCTTTGATTTGAGGAGCCCTTCGAGTTTTCCCTGTGATTCGCCCCTTAAGGGGCTCTTACTTAAGGCCCTGAAGGAACCCCCCCGCATCCCGAAAGACTTGGGGCAGGACCGCAAGCTGCGGTCAGCTCCCAGCCGACTACAACCTGCGGACGGATCCGGTGGCTTGGCTTCGAAGAGCTCAGAAACTCCCAAGTTTAGGGGGCTTGCTGTTTCAGGGTGTAGGGTTTGGGGTTTGGGTCCAAGAAGCTCCAAAACCCCACGGTTCAGGAATTGCATAGGTTTTTTGGGTTTCGTTTTCTAGGGTTCGCAGAAAGGCCTTTGGGAGGCAAGTGCTGCCTTCGCTCGAATATATAGATTCGAAACATGATTCAAGATTTTGGGTTTAGGGTTTAGGGGAGATTCGAAATATGATTACCCAACTCCAAAACCCGACAGCGAAAACCGGGACCCCCAAACCCTACACTCTAAACCATAACCCATCAGAAACCCCAAGCCGTAAACCCCAAACCCTTACTCGAGCCACGACGACAAAAAATCAAAGCCCTAAACCCCAAGCCCTATACCCTAAATCCTAAACCCTAAGCCCTGAACCCTAAGTCCTAATCCCCAAGCCCTAAACCCTAGGCCCTAAACCCTAAGCCCTAAACCCTAAGTCCTAACCCCAAGCCGGAAACCCAAAGCCGTAAACCCTAAGCCCTACACGCAACGCCCTAAACCCTAAGCCCCAAGCCCTCAACCCTGAATCCTAAATCCTAAGCCCTAAGCCCTAAGTCCTAAACCCTGAACCCTAATCCCTAAACCTTAAGTCCTAAACCCTAAGTCCTAAACCCAAAGCCCTATACCTTAAGTCCTAAACCCAAAGTCCTAAACCCTAAGTCCTAAACCCAAGCCCTAAACCCCAAGCCCTAAACCGTAGGCCCTAAGCCCCAAGTCCTAAACCCAAAGCC